TCTAAAGAAAGACAATAAAATCTCACTAAAAGGTAATGGAGTCAAAATCTTGATCGATCGATATGGATAAGCCAATGAGGAAGAGAATGTTGGGGGGTATTTAGGTAAGAATATTATGAGAGTTTCGATATTGAAATCTCTTTGTTTTTGGGTTTTGGAAAAACAATTTCCCTCCAGGGTCTTAATTCTCGAATCCATTTAGGATGAGTAAGAGGTTTAATGATTCCAAAGGGATTGTAGGTAAAGTAGGTAAATGTTTGGGGTAGTATGTTTCAAATAGGGTTTTACCTCGGGGTCTATCATTTTGTGACTTAATCTATCGCTTGCTGTTTTATTTGCTAGGGATATAACAACATTGTGAAAAGTATCACCCGGTTTCGAGAGGGTTGTTACATTCTCGATAAAAGTTTTCGAATCGAGATATTTGAAGATAGTGAGAATATTTACCTTTCTTGATCTTTGATTTATCCTGCACAATGAGATAGGGATGCTCAATCAGTTTTGATTGAATTGTATCGAAGTCGAAGCGAATTCTTGAAAACCAATCATTCCACACCATGTGAGAAAGTCATGAGTAGATAAATAATTTGATTCGAAAGCATAAGGATAAAAATGAAATAGGCTTTGTGGTAATGATTAGGTGAGTTCTCTTCCCACATTGGATTCATTAAGCTTGAGTCTTGAAAAATTGTCGAGTTGAAAGAATGGTGAAGTTTGACTTAAACCAAGCTCGCCTTGAGAAGAGTTGAGGGTAGTAAGTGATGAATTTAATATCTTTCGATTGAAAGTCCGATACGTGAACATCTTAAGTTAAATAATTACTCCATACATCAATTAATTTTGATTGTAGACCCGGAGTAAGAGCTGGAAATCCGGATTTGAACCATGATGGTCCTAAGAGCTTATCACTTATTTTTCCATGATATGTAATAAAAGGAGTCAAACATGAATCGAAATAATATCAAGTCAAGAGGAACTTCAAATAAGTTTTGTAATTGGTTTCGTCGAGAGGACTTTTGTTGAGGATGTTGGGATGTTAATCGAACACCTTCTATGTTAAAATTAAGGGGAACTTTGGACGATGTAGGGAGGATACTCTCGAAAATTGAAGTCGACCATAGATCTGAATGAACCATATGGGACCTGAAAAATTACTCGAAGGTTTTGAAGTATTCAAGATGTTGATCGCTTCATCGAACACCGTATAAATGTGAACCAAAAGAAGTTTTGTTAAGCAAACTCGAGGTTGACTAGTATGGAGAAGATAAGCAAGATTATAAAAATGTGAAGAAATGCGAATAGATCCAGGACGGAAAACATGAGTGCATAGCCAATATACCGAAATGCAACGTGCTCTTCATTAGAAAGCTGTTATGGATTGATCATCAACGAAATATTTTTGGATGAAGTGGCCATAAGCCTTATCATCCCAATTGATTTTTGCTTCGAGAAAATCTTCGAAGGAAAGGTAGTCTTAAAATATTTTTCTCCTATGGACTTTAATCCAGATGATCGCGAGCAATCTCAAAAAGAGTAAGGGAGAGAGAACCACATGGAAGCTCTATAGCATGTAAATCTTTATTCCATAAATGTACTACAAATAAAAACATGGACATATCCAAAAAAGATAAATCGCATCGAGATAAATGTAAAAAATCGAAAATCCCGATATCTTTCCAATGATTTCCAAACTTGGCTTGTACTCTATCGAACCACTTAATATATAAGGGTTTTTTGTGTAGAGGACCGATTCGATAAATTTTGAAGTTGAGTTAAAGAAATCGATCCTTATTTTAGATTTATGAATAATGGTCTTGCTTTCGACGAGGAAGACAAATAGTGGATGAAGACAATCCAAGCCTGAAACACGAATTAGACCGACAAATGCATATTCAATATTATTAGCTGAATAAGATATAAGTACTGCGTTTCAACGATTTTTTGTGAAGTTTCTTCCGGGTGTGAGACTAGAGCAAATTTTTGGCCGTTTATCTCTATTAGGTTGGAGGTCACTTGTTGATAATGGCGGAGTTGGGAGGTCGAGAAGATTTGGAAGTAGCCATGACAATTGTGCAAGTTTGAACACGAAAGAGAGATAACGGGTGAAGAAGATGAAAGGTTTAGCTTCTTTAAGAGTAGTGACGGTGATAAAAGAAAAATGATTTTGGTATTTAAAGACAAACAAGGCAATTGAAACACTGAATGTGAGAGGAAGTTAAATAAAGACGTGACACGGGTTATGCGAGAAGACGTGCTCTTATTGAGAATCAAAAAGCATTAATGAGGGGATTGACTTGATTTGATATTTGGTAACAAAACAACTTTTTATGGTTTTAGAGCATTTATGAGGGGAAATGAATATTTTATTTGAAAGAATACAAAACTTGCACAATTTTTTATTCTTTCAAAGGGGTATTTTGTTAGTGAAAAAATTGATAAATGAATCGAAAGTGGACGGAAGAATTTGATGGTCAATTTGGGGTAAAAATTGACAAAAATGAGTATCGAGAGCAAGAGATAGTTTGAGAGAAAAATTGAGGAAAGGAGATCAAAGGCATCGTGAAGATTCAAAGATTCGATTTCGATATCTAAATTAAAGAGATCAATTATCTTTGCACATGGGAACATTAGGTAGCGGTTTTTAAACCGTTTTGGGTGGTTATGTAAAGTATGTTATAAATAGAACTAAGTACTTAAGACAAGAGGAGGGGGGGGAAGAATCATTTTGTAACAAAAATTTCTTGTACAAGTCTATCTGGAAAACGACGACAATCATAAAATTTCTAGCAATTTGGGTTTCCACTTTCATTGATCTTTATTATCGCTTTCTTTACTTTCTCTGATGATTTCTTCTCATGCAATTTAAGTTTATGCATTACTTTTTCATTTCTTCATCTATTTAACTTTTTGTATTTCTTTAAAATCAATTTAATCAAGTTCACGCGATCATTTCCTCTCTATTTACTTCTCTAATTTTTTATGTGTTCTCATTTCCATAAGTTTACGTTGTCTTTCATTTTATGTCATTTACATTTTTAATTTCATTTTTATCTATTTAAACTTTTCAAAGTCTTTAAAAACTTTATCTTTTAACTTTAATGAATACAATTTATTTATCCATTATTGTTGAGCAACATTTCTTTTAATTAGATTTAGTTATTTATTTGAGCAAGTATTGATGTTTGTATGCTTTTAAAATCATTATCAGTATTTCGTACTTAAATTTATCATCTCTTATATTGTCGATTGAAAAACTTAGTTTGCTAGCTTAAATAAAAAGAATTCACATGGGTTAAAAATTAAATAAACATAATTTTTTTGGAAATTAAAATCAAATCAAATTTCACTAATAACAATTATATTAATCATTTATATTATCAATCAATTTAATTTCTAATATTACAATGATATCAATTGAGTGGTTGGACTTTATTATTGTCAACTAAACTTGTCTCTGTCAAAATAAATAAATAAAAACTTCTGGGATTAAATTAACTAAAAAAAATTGTCTAAAAAATGGCTGCGCCAAACAATAGAAAATCATGAACTGCAATTGGGTTTAAATTAAATACGCATAGTTTAAAAATTGCAGAAGCACAAAACATAAAATGTCGTTATCTTTATTTAACTAGTGTTTATTCCCGGGCAATGTATGGGAAAATATTGTGTAATTGAGTTAAAAATAATTTGATGTATAAATAGATAAGGTTGAAAACATTTTTCATATATTGGAATTCAAAAAACACTATTTCATATGGCCAAGTAAAAAAAATATGGACATAACTTTATATTACTATAAATATAAAATATAAGACATTTAGAATATTAAAGTTAATTATTATTTTAAAGAATAATGTAAAAATACTTTATATTTTAAAAATAATATAAAAATATTTTCATAACATATTAAAATATAAAAAAGGTGAATAACTTATTTTAAAAATATTAAATATTTTATTTAACTTAATTATGTCCTTAAAAAGGATTTAATTATTTTAATTAATACTATATATTAAGTTAGAAAGCGTGCATACATGCTAATCTAAAAAAAATGTATTCTTTAAAATAAAACTCAGATTAACTTATTACAAATTATTTAAATGTTAATCTCACTTTATAAATTTTATAATGTTAGTTAAGATTTAGATTTATTTTTAAGATGGTATTTAAAACTTATTTTAGTAAGTTAGTTAGCCTTAATGTGTCACTTATAATCAATTTTTGAGATTTTCAATGTTTGGTGTAAAAGATAGATTAGAGATTTGGCCTCAACTAGGTATAATATATAACATACATAATAATAATATATAAGTTGATTAAATCTTACATTGTTAAATTAAACTTAATTTTTGTTTTTCAATTTAGTAATTTGTTTTCCTCAAAGTTTTGGCATCCCTTCTAAGTTGAAAGAAAAACAAATTGATAATGGATTGAACTCAACACGGATCCGCCGGCCCAAACCTAGTCTAAAGGAAAGAAGACCACATGCAGTTGTCATTTGTTCACCCCTTTTGACTAAGAACACCACCTATTTTTACAAAACTAAAAGATTAAAACATGTTTTTGTGGCATAGATTAAAAACGGAAAGGGATTAGTAGGGTTAATTTTTCTTTTCTTTTTTCACAATGTTATTATAATTTTGGTCGTTTTTTAGTTATTATTTTTTATATGTTTTAACTTTTTTTAGGAATCACTTGGATAATTATTGATGGTTTTTTGTGTACATAGTAGAGGACTATGCTAGTTTTTGTGATAATTATATAGAATTATGGCATTTTATATTTTTTATATAGACCTATTTTGTATCCACTTCTTTTATTTTCTTTAACTATTATATTTGACATTTAATTTATATCATGTCTACCATTGTTTACTTCATATCTCTTATCCGTTAGAGTTTTGTCTTTAAAATGTATCTCGATGAATTAAAAGAAGAGGATGTATATAAACTATTTTTTACCTCAACTCTCTAAGCAAGGTGAGACTCTTGTATGAGGACCTTCATAGTAGTCGAGGAGAGTCATTACCCCCAAACTTTTGTAATTTATTTATATATTTATAATTTTGGTCTCTTAATATTAAAATAAATAATTAAATATATCATAAATAAAAAAACTAAAGGAATAAATTAAATTAAAAAGATAAAAAATAGTTTTATTCATCAACCTTTCCATCTTTTCTCACATTTTCATACTCTATCACCAATGATAATATTTAATTAGTATTTAATTATTTCTCTAATTTCTAAGGAATATATTAAATAAAAAGATTAAAAGTAACTTTTTTACTTTTCCATCTTCTCTTATCTTTTATATTCTCTTACTAACTCTAATATTGATTCATTAATACTTAATTGTTTCTATAATTTCTATCTTCAAATTCATTTTTCTTCTCTCTCCCTCCTTAGATTCCATCATTAAAATTAGATTGATTGACAATATAAAAAAGTAATTTTTTTCCTCATTTTTTCATACTTTTTCTATTACTTTTGTTATTTTGATTTTTGTAAAGGAACATTTGTTGTTTGAGAAAAATATTTTTGTATTTTACAAATTTTTATGATTCTATAATTAGAAAAATAATAATATATTCATTTTTTTCTAGATATGAAACATAAAAGAAAAAAAATCATTTTTTAAGCAATGTTTTAGTTCCAAATGAAATTTATAAAAATTTTAACAGTGATCATATATGCACACTTATGAACAAATTTTATCCTTTGAATTTTAGTGAATAAGAGAAGATTAATTTAAAATTTCAACTTCATCATTTTATACTTGATACTCCTAACCATCCAAATTTGAAGAATTTGTCTATCATGCTTAAATTATGTCAATCTTTGATAAAATTAAGGAAGTCAGGTACATTTTACTTAATAAATAATTTAATTTGTCTTATTTTAGCTCTTTTCGTTTCTACATATACAACTGATAGATCGTTTTTTGCAATGAAGATTATCAAAATAAGACTGCAAAATAAAATGAAAGATGAAATTCTTGCACATAATATGATCATTTATATTGAAATTTTTTTTTCAAAACTTTAGTTTTGATTCCATTATTGATGAGTTCAAATATTTAAAAAATAAAAGACAAAACTTAAAATAAATATCTTATTTTTCAGTTATTATTATATAATTATTTTTATAATTGGACCCCTAGGCTGATTGGTCAAGGTCTGCCACTTCTCATGAGCATATCAAAACATAATTCTCATAGTCGATGATTAAAAACTTTACTTTCAGTCTCACGGTGGGCGTCAATATTCCATTTAGGAACAAGAGTGTCCCGACCTCATGTTCGCATATATAAAAATGAGAAATTTAAGCAACATATAAAAAATAATGACTCATAACCCAATGTTTTAAGATTTTATATTGATAGTGATATAATAGTTTATGTGGATTGAGTTCATATCTCATTAATATTATTTTATTTTTCCCCTTCAAATACTCGACTTATGAGCGTAACTCGAATCTTAACGAGAACTATTGATTATCTTGATATAATCACTATTATGATATACTCACATATTAAACATGAATGGAAAATGATTTTAAAACTAATTTGCCCAATTAATCTTAATTTAAATAATTCCAGAAAAAAAAAATCTTTATAGATGTATTGTTGATTCCCTTATCATTTTTTTTTCTTCTAAAAAACAATTTTACACTACCCAACAATATTCAATTTGTTATCTTCCATAGAAATAAAAATTTATTATCCAATTAAAAAAATTGTAAGAATTGTTTGTAAAACAATTTATTCAAAAGAACAATCAAAATATAAATATTTTTATTTTAAAAAAAATATGCTCATGAAATAAATTCTCCATGCGTGTTTAGTTTCACGTGTTGATTTCTAATAATCATGTTAAAGTGCCGATTAATATGATTTTAGCGAATTGCCCATTTAGTTATGCATTGTTTATTAATTTTGGGTATAAAATTTATCTAATTTGAAAAATACTTTGGTTAATTTGAAGATAAGGTGGCTGCTGGACACATTATCCTCAACTAGTTTTAAACTTTTATTATTAATTAAAAGAACTTATTTAATATTGTTATTTCGGTTTAAATAAAAGTAGTTTGTAACATTTTTTATATGTTACTTCATGCTGGTTTTTTATTAAAATATTGTTTTTAACTTTTAATTTTTTTAAATTGTATTAAATTTCATTTTTACTTTTTTTAGATAAAGTAAGATATTATTATATTTTTTTGTTTGACCAAGTAAACCATCATATTTTCTTTTGCAAGACCAAATGAATGTAGAACATGGGCTTAAACAATGCCCTTAATTCATTCTTTAACAGAGAGAGAGAGAGAGGATTAGTGTTAATTAATCACAATCTGTTGGGTGAGAATTGTTTGACCTCGGGGTAAAGGGAATAATAAAAAAAGAAAATGAGTGAGTTGGGAAGTTCAAAAGTTGTTTCCAATCATTTAGAAGTTGGATTTGTGTGAGTGGGACTATAATCATGGTTATCCGAGCAGTAAGAAAGCTACATAGAGAAAGGTTTTTGAACACAGCTCCCATCAGAACAGTGAGTTGTCAGAGAGGGAAGAGACTTGAACACAACTTAGAGAGCTACAGAGGTGGTCCAGCAAGAGATTACTTACTGATTTTCATCTCATTTTTGGTGCAGACAGAACGGTGGGAACAGAAAAAGGGAAAGATGATTAGAAAGGAAAGCAATAAATAAATATGTAGATTCATACGTATATACATACATACATACGTGGCCACTGCTGCAGAGAATCAACCCCCTACAACTACTACCACAAGTGCAAATCAAAGAGATAATAAAATTAATGACATTATAGAGAAAAATAGCAGGTAAGGAATGGGGTATCTGCATTCTGCAATGCCTCTATCGATATGGAATATGGTACGGATATACTTACTATATATATAGGTTGATTTTGCTTCATAATTGCTCACAGGTACACTTGCTTGCGCACGTTTTGCACTTTGCTAGGTTTATATTAATGAATAAAAAAGTGTTAGTGGAGTTATGGCCAAAACGCCAAATGGGGTTCCAAAAGTTGTAGCCACTACACTAATCAAGCACAAGTATAGTAATGCTACCTCTCAGGAAGGTCTACTTCAGTTGCTAAAGTTGTTTGATGCGATTGTAGTCCCAATTTTCTGCCTAGTTTCCTGTCTGTCTGCCCCAAACAGAGAGGCATGAGAGAGATCAGAGATTCAGAGGAAGAAAAGAGACTTCGCCATGCATGGTCCCCTTCCCTTTTCATATGTCAGAACCTATGAAAAGATTTATGTAGATACTAAGAAAATATATAGTTTTTCTTACTTTCTGGTCATCTTACTTTATATTTAATGCATGCCATTCGCATATACATAAATAATGCTATAGCTAGCTTTTCACTATCCCTTGTTTATCCATAATCGCTGAACATGATATATGTATTATGTCTCTCAGCTAGCTTGTTCAATACCAGATCTACCTTGCATGAAATGAGATTCTGCAATAAATCACACTACTAGAAATTTTCATCCTGTGAACCTTCTATTACGAAGAAAGTAACTAGACCAATTTGGTTCTGTTTGGGTACGTAGTTATGAGACTTGAGTTGAATCTTAAGCCTAAGCTTGGATCCATTTTCCCATCCTACGTAGAGTTGTTTGAGTATTTAATTTGAAGGTAATAAGTGTTGAAGATGAAAAAAGTTTAAGCTAGTTATGAGAACAAATTAATCATTGCATTAGCTTTAGACACAGTCTGTAGAAATACGCATGATAACGCAAGTCTGGAGTAAAATCTTGGTTTCATTTCAGCACAGTATTTATATTGTACTAGTTCATCATAATTCATATAGATCTAACGTGGTTGGACTGGGAGCGAAATCGAGTTAGTATAAGAACAACCAATTTAATCATAAGTACAACCAAAAGCAATATTAGTTTAAGACATTTTTTTATGCTTACCGATTTAAGACATAAATAGTACTAGTCATTTTTCGATAAACTGATGAACTTCACTTTAGATTTTAAAGGCTCTGTTGTGTCAGGAGACGGGTTAAAGGATGTAATCAAACGAGTACTTTAGTCAGTGATCTAGCTACTGTTGAGGATAGATATTTATTTTTATATTAATTAAAATTCATAATAGATAAATGTCATATTATCGATGTGTATACAACATTATGCTTTAGAATAGTTGATTTTTTTTAACTAGTTGCAGTGTGAAGTACACTTCTAAATCAAGGAGAAAATATAAGGATATTCTCAATATCTAATTGAGATAGAAAGCTAAAACTATATATATACTCTCATTTACGATATAAAAAGTAGAACATTTATATATTTCTATGCTATATAACTTAACCTTTGTTTATGTAACAAAGGAGAATACATAACTTAATCTTTTAGAAATATATAGGTTATGCAATCCAAGGTTATAACAGTTGCTTAAAAACACTTAAATTGGATGTTATGATTTAAAATTGTTGATTATATAGTCCAGATTATGGAAGGAAATAATCTGGTGCAGAAGAAATACGTTTCTTTAGAATATATTGGGTCCAAGCGTACTCTAATCAATAAAGTGAATGTCTACGATAGGTGGATAGCTAAAACCCATTTTTACTTTGGAAGTGATAAACTTTTGCTTCTCGTGTCTTGAGTAATAAAATTCTAAAAAGCACGTTTTCAACTTTTACTGAAATACTTTTTGCCTAACAATTAACATGTTTTTTAGTTGAGAGTAAGTGTATTAAGTTTGCTTTCCATGGTAAGAAAGAAAAAGAAAGAGAAGCAGTGTGTGATTTCATACTTGTGGGGATTCTTTTCTTGACGTCTGTTCCATTTCCATGCCAAGGTTTGGCATAAAGAGAAGAAAGAGCATAGGGTCTCAACCTACCTATGCATGCATCTTCCAAAGCCAGTGTGTGGTCATTCGGAAAGAATGACAGCTGAATCGCAACCTTGTATCATATTTTTCTACCACACAAACACACACAAACTCATTCACTCATTCCCATAGTCAAACCACAACTATAATAACATCCATTCAATCTCTTCAAAAAATAAATAAAAAACCCAAGGTTTTACTTGGTCTAATAAAAAATAAATAAATATTTGAATTTTTATAATATATCTAATCTAATCTAATCACGTACTATTGTACGTACTTTCTGCTTCATTTCCAAGATATTAAGTGTAAGAGACATCGATAATTTTTAAAAAGACTACTATCACTTCTTCTTTTTTATTTGTTGTTGATTTGTTTGCTGCGTCAGGCATGTTATGATAAAATCTAATAAAATTAAATGTGCTTATTTTCGAATATTCTTGCTACTTTGAATTAGGACAAATCAATATGAAATCTCGACATTTTTTCTAGTCTACGTCATATCACATCTGTCACGTGTTGCCCCTCCTTTTGGTTGTGTTTGGTCCTGATATGTTCACTCCAGTGGATATGTTTTTATTTATACAGCATATTTCATGCATTACTTTTTTTGTTTTTTTTTTGCTTGAATAAAAAAATGGAAAGTGCAAATTAAAATATACGCTTTGAGTTTCAGTACTTCAAAAACAGTGGCTTAACAAATGTAATGAAAATAAGATAGTTTATATATATTATTATGGCTCCTGAATCAAATTTTGGATAGTTGTATATGTTGTTGTGGGTATTAGTAGATTTCATCAGTACACTGTTTAAGATCAGGACTTATATCAGAAGACACTGATAATTGGATAACAGATAATGCATTACTGTTGGTAAACTATCAGAATGCACTGAACCCCGGATATAGTTTTGCGTATTGAAAGCCGTTATTATAGAATTTGTGAATGGTCTTGTCTATGAGTGGGAGAATGAAGTAATTTAATTATTTCTTTACAAATGTTTTCATATTTTAAATTCATGATTGTTTTCTTTATATACTTTTTAATTTGTGAATGTGTTCTCTAACACTCTCTTGGAAGTTTAATGGGTATCTTTAATTTTCAATTTAAACCTTAAGTCATAAATCTCATTGCTTTATTTAGTTTTCTAAACTTTTTTCCTCTTAAGATTTTACAAGTTTTAGGTTTATTTTTAATTCAGTGACCCTCTTTTTTCTGCCTTTGCACCTTTTTGGATGGGCCTTTGAATTTGGTTTATCTATCAGTTGTTTCTTTTTATAATTAGCTTCAATCATATTTTGAATAAGATCTCTGATGTCCTATTAAAAACTGACGTGACGACCTAAAATTGACTCTCAAAAGGATGATACTTCAGTTTTATAAATAAAGTGAATTATTGCTGGTATTATAGAATTTATATACGATTCCTTGTGCAAGAGTAGGAGAGGGAATTTTGAGTTTGGTGAATAGAATAGAAAGCAAGTGCAGAGAGGAAGAGAGGAAGAGATGCACGAGTCATGAACTTAATCCATACCAGTTTTTACAGATGATTTGGTTTCCATGTTCTCGGGTTGTGAACCAATGTATTTGATGACTTAAAAGGGAATTGATAGAATGGCTTTTTGAAAGTGTAGATGTGTATGGATAGAGGGATTTAATTGAGGGAAAATAGGAGTGTAAAAATGATAATAAATATGCTCCCTCGAGTCAATCCAAAGCTCTTCATCCCTTCTTTTGCCCAAAATAAGCCAAAAAAACTTGCAATTACTAACCCACCACCGCTTTCCAATCAAACACAACACATACTAGTAGTACACGCCCCTTCTTGACTTTGAAACACCATATTTATTTCCACAACAACCTCTTCCATTAGAATAATCCCACACTTATTTCTTCCCCCACCCATTATTAATACACTGCTAGCACTCCCAAGTGAGCAACACTCTCCTTTCCTTTCCCCCAAAGAAATGTGGTAAAAGAAAGAGACAAAGTGATCAGAACCCCACCCTTCCCCTTCCCTTCTCTCTCACTCATGAAGCCCTAGCATTAAGAGCCTTTTCCCTGTCATCTCTGAGACAACAAGATTCCTAATTAAGTCCCCAGCATGTATTCCTTTCCATGTTCCATTTGCTTCTCGTCCCCGGGGGAATTTCCTTGTACTTTAAAGAACCTCCACACACACTAAACCCTTTTTTTCTTCACACTATTAATGCAAAAGTTGTTTGTATGCAAAAGCTACCTATATAGCAGGGGATGGGAGACATGGTACTCTCTCTTATCGTCATTCCCTTTTATTTATTTCCCTTTCCTTTCTAGTTCATCTTTCTCACAGGCGATTCCTGTTGCCCTTTCCTCCATTTTTATATATTTTATTTAATAACCCTTTTATCTTTCATTTTATTGTGTTAAGTTCCAATATATGTGAATAATTTTGTACCTTTTTTTTTGTACTAGATGCCAAGATGTTATTAACATTATGATAAGATCGGTGAGATGCACAGTTACACAGAGGGTAGGGTAGGTGAAGAGGCTATATAAGAAGGCACGTTGTGTTGGTCCAGTGAGTTCAGTTCAGACCGAAAAGCAAGAGCAACAAAAGTGCTGCTTCTAGATTGTTTTTCTCTTCAGTTGGCCGTTTTCGATATCTTACTTCCAGTTCAGTAATTTTCCACCATCATCATGGCTTCTTCTAATAGACACTGGCCAAGCATGTTCAAGTCTAAGCCCTGCAACCCTCACCACCAATGGCAGCATGACATCAACTCCTCCCTCATCTCAACTGGTTGCCACAGAAGCCCTTACACTTCAGGTTTGTCACACTCTAAAACTTCTCACATCACTCTCCATCTTTATAACAGCCCTTGAAAACCCTTTCCGATTCTGAATCCGAAGGTCAATTAGCTAATCTATCATAATACCATTTACGTTGCAACATTTACAACCCACAAATATATAAGTACCATGCACTTCAGTTTTACTTAAGAAATTGACTTTCTTATTCGTATATGCATAAAATATAAGTAGATATCATGATTTATATTTCTTATTGTCATTTATATGTATAACGTTCTTGACATTATGTGTTTTATTTCTCCTCTTTGCTTTTGATTTGTTTTCCTAACTCTTCAGGTACGGGTTGTGAAGAGAGAAGTCCAGAGCCAAAGCCAAGGTGGAACCCAAAACCTGAGCAAATTCGCATTCTGGAAGCTATATTCAACTCTGGAATGGTGAATCCTCCCAGGGATGAGATAAGAAAGATAAGGGCACAGTTGCAAGAGTATGGTCAAGTGGGTGATGCAAATGTGTTCTATTGGTTTCAGAACCGCAAATCAAGGAGCAAACACAAGCTTCGCCATCTCCAAAACTCAAAAAATCAGAACCTTGAAACTCAACAAAACCCCACTTCTCTCCCTCAAATCACTGCACCCTCATCCTCATCTTCCTCCTCTGAGAAATCTTCTCCAAAAGAATTAATACCCAGCAAGGTATTCTCCATTGGATTCTCGAACATCACTGATGTAGTACCTAATTCTCCAACTACTTCTGTGAACCAGACCTATTTTCAGACTCACAATGAGTCTTCTATGCTTTCACTACCACCACCTGCTGCTGCTGCCGCACCAACTGGGGCGTTCTTCTTCCCAGTGCAACATCATGGGCAGGGAGTAGCACCTAGTACGGTGACAACACAAGGCTTTTGCTTCTCTGAGCTGTCCAATGTTGTTCAACTGCAATCACATGCTCAACATAACGTTGGTCCTTGCACTAGTCTCTTGCTCAGTGAGATCGTAGGCCATGGTGCTGCTGCATCAAAGAAAGATCTAGAACAAGACAAGTCTCTGAAAATAATGCACCAGCCCTCACTGCTTAATTTCTGTGTCACTCCCATAACAACAGCTCCTACTACTACCACTGTTGTATCTCCCATCACTACCTCAACCACCACTGTTCTATCCCCCGTCATTGCTCAAGTTCAAGGTAATTTTATTTAGAATTTTACATTCTCCTTTGATATTGTTTCTTTTTAATATTTTTATATTTTTATGATATTAATTTAAAACATATGAAGGATTAATGAAAAAAAAAGTATCAGAAGAGAACATAAGAGTGAAACTATTTACTTTATTATTAAATTTGGTTTGCATGGTGATTTCCAGAAATTACTTGAACAATGCATTTTTCCCCATGCCCTGAAATATTTGGTAACAAATGTACAGTGTGACATTCTTAATAGGGCTTGGTTGTTTGTTACTTTCAACACATATATGTATATAAAAATCGTTATGGATGGCAGGATGAGAAGAGCGCACCATACTAGTAAGAAGAGCATTTTTAAATATAACATTTGATATAATGAAAAGAAAAAAGTAGAGGAAAATAGAAAAAATAAATCAATTGATGTGATAAAAATATATATAACTTTAAAAATTATTAGGTTGAAGATGATGGGTACCATGAATTTTGGGTCACGTGTGCATGGCCTTAATTGGCCTTAGCCTATAGTTGACTTGGGGTAGCTTGTGTTTCGACTTGCACATGAGAGATGTTTGTGTGTATCTCAGGCATGGTGGGAGATCCAGCTGCTGCGGCGAGATCAACGGTGTTCATTAACGATGTGGCATTCGAGGTAGCGGTGGGGCCTTTCAATGTTCGTGAAGCTTTTGGAGATGATGCTGTGCTCATCCATGCCACTGGTCAACCTGTGCTAACAAATCAATGGGGTGTCACTCTTCATTCTCTCCAGCATGGTGCATGTTATTATTTGGTGCGCACATTAGCCCTGCTTCTGTTGCAATAACTCTTTCTTTTATGTCATCATAAACTTATAATTATTATTAACATGTATATATATTTCATCATCTTGCAGATATAGGAAGTAGAGAGCTGAATGATGATGCATGGGAGAGGTTTTAGATATGGTGTTTTTTCTGTCTATTTCGATCCTTCTGTCCTTTTTTCTTTTCCTATCTATCTACGTGTGTTTTACTATTAGGGTTATTAAATAGGGGTTTCTAGACACCACTTATGAGTTCAAGTATGGATGTTATGACTTTGTAGACCTGATCATATGTAACTTTTCTCCTAAATTAGTTTAAAGCAAATGATGGTTAATACCTATATCACATTATATATGGTGATCCGAAAATGAAGTTAAAAAACCAATGTTTTCATTGGCACCGACGATACAGTGATTTAGAATTTGAGGTACTGTTGAGATAAATGGTGATGTTCTCATACGTTGTTGCTCATGGGTTGCGTATGAATAATTAGAAGTTAGAATTATTAGTTCATGACGCAGCTTTTTTGGACTCACATACGGCACTGCTAATGTTCCATCCCAGTGAAAATGTAAAATTGGTTTCCTTCGCGATTCTTGTTGCCATATTAAATATACTTCGAATTTTGGAATTATTGAGTGAAAATGTTGTATATTTGTAAATGCTATTCAATTCTATATGCCTTGGGACTGAAAAGTTGAAATTAACGAGCAGAAGACGTTCAAATTTTTAATAAAGAACTCATTAATGTTAGTACATAAGTTGCAGTTTTGATGAGTATATTTTGATTTATAATACTTCAAAAACATAGGATTACAATCTGAAAAAACTTAGCCGCAAAAGGGTGAAGATTCCAACTCAGAACCATTCCCTAACTCCAGGGCTAGAAAGTTAACACAGAAATTACCTTCTCATAACGAATGAACAAACTCTTAGTTTCAGTCTTCTCAACATTAATAGTTGAATGCAGATGAGAACTTTGAACACCTGATAACGTTAATAAAAATATATTTGGTTTAATTTTGTTGATTGAAATAATATTAATTTATATCACAAAGTTAATAATTGTTTTACTGTTATTTAGTTACAATTATGTCAAGTTTATTGAATTTTATAAACATTACGTTCAAAGTCATGTCAATCATGTTTTCTTTTTATTAATTACTAATTAGTACTGTAATTTTTTTTTTTTTAACTTCATACTTGAGTCTTCGTTTCTTTTCATCTTGAGTTCTAACAAATGTGTTAGTAGAAGTATCTTTTCCAGGATTGGGACATAATTATTTTTTAATTTAATTATCTTTTTATCTATTACTTTTTTTTTATTATTATTATGTGTCAGTTCAATACGAAGTATTTCACGACCGTTTTTGTGTAACATTTTAGGAAAGAATCACATGTGAATCTAACAGTTGAAACCAAAAGATCTAAAAACATTTTTACAGTTCTCGTGTTAGATACACTTGAGATAAGAAATAAAGTATTTTAGAAGGAAAAACTATCAAGATATTGAAATTAATTCGACCATTCTTTTTGACAAAAAGAAACACGTTGAAAAAATTCAATTAGTTTGCATCAGGGAGGACTTTGTATTGACTTTCTTTTAAAAATTGTTAACAAAAAAATCCCTTTAAGAATTGTTACTCACAAAAAAATATTTTAAAAAAATAGAGATATACAATATTTCATGATAAAGAAATAAATCAACGGATAAAAAGTTTAATCACATTTTTTTCCTCTTATAATTGTGTTAATTGATCTTTTCTAAGAATTACGTGAAATAGGTACTTTATGAATATCAAAATTATGCATTTTCTCTCTCTCTCTCTCTCTCAATCTTTCATTAAATATTTAAAACATGTTTAAATAAAAACTCTCTATAAATAATTATAGAAATAAAAAACTTTTAAGAAAAGTTAATTTAAATTAATAAAAAATTTCTTTCATTCTAAATAAATTTCTCCACGAGTATTTACAGAAATAGAAAATAACAAAAAATATTAATCTTGATTTTGTAATTTTATGCTTTTTGTGTTATGATGAAAAAAAAATAGCTACACATATTTTTAATAATTTTTGTTGATGTGCATAACAATGAATGATACATGTTGATAATGTAGTAACTGTCATGCTGGTTGAGTTATGTTGTACGAGATAATTACATTTTTGGTAATTCTTGTATAACAATAATGAGAAATTAAAATTTGAATTAAATTATGTCAGCATATATCTTAGACAACACCACTATTACGTCGGTTATATATATTTAATCGAAGATCATTGGAGGAACTAAAATTGTAATGTTTGAAAATTTTGTGTTATTGGAACTTTGATGACCAAAATCACATACTTATAATATATATGAAACACCAAAAGAAAATCAATACTTTGATAAAAAGGTTAGAGGTTATATATATTTATGGGGGAAATCACATATGTTTATAAAAAATATGAATTGAGAAATATCAAATTATTAAATAGATGTTGGGGGCGAAGAGATTAAATTATTGATTATTAATTAAAAAAAAAAACCTTAGTTCACCAAAGAAAATATATATTAAAATGTTACTATAACTTTATTTTTCTTAAAATGTACCTAAATATTTGACTTGTTAAAATATTTATATATTTTTGTTATAAATGGTATGATTCTTAAAATCACTCTATATAAAATAGTAAACATATTAGAAAATCTTAAAAGCTACAATAATTTGAAGTCAGTCAAATGTTTGAAGTAGAAATGGATGGAACTTGATTAATTGATATATATATATATATATATATATATATATATATATATATATATATATATATATATATTTTAATTCTCCACCAGAATGTCATTTCAAGTTCGAGACATAAGTCTCTAAATACAAACACATATTTCCGCAACAATTCAAGCCTCTAGACCTCAAACTAAATTGAACATTCTCTTGAAATAAATTTAGTTTATTAATTTGTACACAGTTAACAAAATTAGTTTCTATTTTACAACACCACTTTATTTTAATATATAATATAATCCAAAATACCAGCAAATATATATTACACATTGATAAATATCTAAATATTAAAAATTTAATATGTATATAGAACATTAAACTAGTATTACTGTAATATTACATGGTTGTTAATAACTGCATTAACACAATTCATCATAAAAAAAGAAAAACAACCATTAATATGTCAGTATGTGTGATCTGTCACGATCTATAATATATTTGAATCAGTGTAGTGAAGAATTGTATGAATAATATGTATATTGTTATGAATGATACGTCAATTTTTTGATACATGACAGTATATTCATTTATGAGGGAGAGGAATATCTGTTGGAAAATATGATTTTAAGTGGCAAGTTAAAATATTAGAAAGATTTTAAATCTGATATTACATAAAAATAAAAAAGTTGATCTATAGGATAAGAACGATCTATAATCTAATTCTTTTATGTTTTGGATTGAGAGTGATATCTAAAAATACTACTCTAATCACCTTAAGTGTGAATTCTCGATTCAAATACCATTTTAATCTATCTGAAATTTGAATTTCTTTATATTAATATATTCTTGACCACTTTTAATCTTCCATGGTATATCTTTAAAGTATTAGATTACAGATGTTGTTCAGCTTATTACGAATCTTTTCAATTTTTTCTTTTATATAACGTGGGACTTACACTTACTTATACTTCTTCCTAGTAATACGTACTTGTAGAACTTATTCTTGCAATTGTATTTGCTAACCATCCTTCGATGATGTGTGTAGTTGGAGATATTTGGCGATGTGCAGTGTGATTAGAAAAAAGGGTGGGAACCTCACTGTATGCCATATAAAAGCGCATCTTGTATGCACGAATCAGAAAGTCTGACCCGAAACGGAATGCTACCAACGTTTTCACAGAAACTGCCAAATTGAATTTTGTCTCCACCTAGCTACCTGCTCAGCTGAGGAAGCAACCAAGGACCTACATACACTGCAAAACATGTCTTCATAACTCACTCACTGTTCCTTTCTTTCTTCTTATACACTGCGTGTAAATAAATATATACATAAATTGTTGAAGCACATCTCATCTCATCAAATTAACAGGAGAGTGGTTGTTGACGAGAGGTCACAACTCACAACTCAGAGCGTCACAGGCAGGCATGTACAGTCACAGATTGGTTTACGTGTTCTTCCTTCACAACAGTGTTTCCTCTCATGTTTTGATGCCTCGATTTGACACACCGATTTCGATACGTCTCTGCACGCTCTCTCTTTCTTCTCCTCCAATTAATCATCCTTATTATGCTATGCTATGTCACTCCCCAACATCCCTTTTCTTTTCTTCCGATCTTTTCTCCTATCATGCTATGTTATATATGCTATGCTATGTCACCCCAGTACCCATCTTAATATTCTTCTGCATGAACTGAATGAACTATCATATATGTATGTATGGTATACGGTTGAATTGAACTGAATGATGATCACAAAGTTATAATCATTACCATGATGACTTTGGCTACTCGGCTATAGCTTTGCCAACTCGTGTGATGTGAATGGTATTTCTTATTCTCTCTCTTTAATTTGATTAGGTGATGAGAGGAAGCATGGTTGAGGAAATAAGAAGAAGCATGTGGGTTTTAGACTTTTTGGGTGGCTGAGATAGTTTGTGATGGACTTTTTGGTCACATGGATTTGATGTTTGGTTGGGATCGTACACAAATGAGCATATTGGTGTGTGGTGGTGCCTAATATAAAGAAAAGAGTAACTTTATGTTGTACTTGCTGCAGCTATATCCCCAACCAGGACGAGGGTGTTAGGTAAACAAACAGTCACCTTGCTTGCTTCACTTCACTCTCATTCCAGATTCTTCTTCTCCAATTTCCTTTATCTCTTCGACTTTGCATGTTAAGCCTACCCTGAGGAAATTATATATAGAAAGTGAAAATATATATATATATATAAAAAACAACTACAAATATATTTTGGTTAGAAAGAAATAAATTATCATTTTATTATTTTTAATTTATATTAATATAAGAAATGTTTTTATATCAACATTTTCATGTGGGAGTAGATGTTTTTAGCATTTCTAGTGTAATAAATCTGTGTCAATCTCTTTATTTCGTTGTCTTTCTTCTCTAACCTTGTTTTTTAAGGATAACAGAAGCTTTTAGGATTGAAATTGGTATGATTGTTGATCGCTCTCATACTTTTTTTTTTTTTTTTTAAGACTCGTTCGTCATATACAGTGGATACTAAAAAGCAAAGTTAGGTTCAATTTTAACAATTTTCAAATTAATACAGTCCTTTAAACTGTCACTATTGGTCTATAATATTATTAAATTTATCATTCGATCATGTAATTCAACCATCATTATCTATTTCACTAGTACATTTTTATATATTCATTAGAAAATTTGTGTTTTGTTTCCTAATCAGTATTGTTTGTGTCTGTATATTAAAAAATAACGTAGCATCATGGTAAAGAAACTCAAATTTCAACCGTCAATATTAATATTAGGTATTTTATTCTTCGATTAAATTAGGATATCACTTTAGGAAGTATTTGATATTGATTAAAGTAATATAATTCAGCGTAGTGAATAGACGTATTGGATTAAAAATATATTATATTCTTAAACAATATTCTATTAATGAAAATATAATTTAAATCTCTCTAAGAGTTATTTTCATATGAAATAAAAGAAAAACTCCGTTTTCTTATAACTTAAAAATAATATATTTTGTGAGATTTTTTACGTAAATTTTTTGTGGATTTTATAAAAAATTATAGAACATAAAAAATTCTACCACTGAAGTGACTTAAATATTTGCTTTAATTTCAATAAAAACTACAATTATTACCAAATTATTCAACATTTGAAATGGACCATGCATATCATAATTTTATGATTGAACAAATATAAGAACTAGGGAGAACTTTTATATTCAATAAAATATCAAAACGATCGAAAACATGGTAGTGAATTAAACAAAGATGGGAGTTTAGAGAAGAAACGAGGTTCAGAAGTGATAAAATTATAAGATTAGAGAATAAAATGATGGTTTGATATGAGAAAGGGAAGAAATGAGATTTAAAGTGAAAGAGTTATGTTTGAAAATAATGGAGATTGAAAAATGAAGAAGTGCGAGTTCCAAGATAAAAATGAAACAAAGTTCAAAAACAGATGACATGAAAGTAAACTTGCATTTAAAGTTAGGCATATCCATTTAAAGTAAAATTATTTTTAATCAATTTTAAATATAATCTTTATCAATTTATTTATCTATATATTTATTATTTATACATAATATTAGAAGAATAAGATTGATCGACAAAATAAATAAAAATAGTTTTTTTTCCTCTCTTTAAATTAATTAAAATTATTTTATTATAATAAATCAGTTACATATTTAATTAAAAAATATTGATTTTTTTATTATAACTAAAATATAATTATTTATTATTATTTATTAATATTTATTATATTGTGATATACATAATATTATAAAAATTAAAAATATTATAGAAAACAAATAGACTGATGTAAAAATATTAAAAGGTTAACTAGTTATATAATTTAAATTAAAATAATTTTATTAGTTTTGGTATAAATTATTTTCTCATAAATTATAGATAAATAATTAAAAACATATGTATTGTACTTAAAAATATAAAAAAGAACTAATTTATATAATAAATAAATAAAATAATTTAAATAACTAATTTTAAAACATATTATTTATGTTATTTTTTTAAGAAAAAACTAAATAAATAATTGTACAATATAATATATGTATAAAATATTTAAAAATTATAAAATACATAGAGTAAATGGTGTGATTTTAATTTTTATAACTTACAAATAAATAAAATACAACTTTCTAAAATGGATCTGACAATTAAATGTGAAAGTATGTACTCTGCTTGAACAAATATTCCCTTCCTCTAAATATGCTTTTATTCTACAATAATTTTTTGTTGATTTTGTCTTTGGTGAAAAAAAATTGTCTTTTTTAATTTTTTTTTTAATTTTAACGTTATGTCGCACTAACATTTCAGTTTCAGATATAAGATCAACATGTAATATTTTTAAAATCAATTTAAGAGGTAAAAATATATGTTACTAATCTATCCATGATGTTAAACACTAAATGAACAATTTCAAATTTAAAAAGGATGAAAATAAAAAATATTTTAATAAAATTAAAACTTCATATATTAAAAATAATGATTTTAAATTTTGTAAAATTAATAAATAAAATAAAAATATAGAAGTTAAAATCAAAACTTTAAATAAATAATAATTTATTTAAGTTAATTTTAATCACAAACATGTAACACCTTTTGAGCGCATTTCACATCTATTCATTTATACTAATTTTGATAAATTTTCACATGTTTATTCAATCCATTTTGAATTTTCTTACGTATTGTTTTTATGAGTAACACCAATAGCCTTGATATCTTCATAAAAAAACGCACTTGATATTTTTTTTCTAAGTAACATCAATAGCCTTGCTTTGTGTCACCCTTCCAAATACAAAAGAAGATAATGTTTAGAGTTTAGCCAAGTCCAATACCTCAACCTTGTCGACTCCACAATTTCATTGTGAGAAATCAAAGAAGCCTACAATTTTTTATCTCTTAAAATTTGAGTTTAAATCTATTTATTTTCATTTATCATAAAATGTTTGAGTTTAATCCAAATAATAAATTTTATTATTAGTTCAGAATTTAATATATCCAATTTAATCTCAAAATCTAGAATTATCATGGAAGATGCAACTTAATCTAGTATGATTTGATGGGTAATGAAAAACATTTAATGGCCTCACCTCATTCATATTGAGTAAAAAAATTTAGTTTAGTTTAATGTTAGGTTAATGAGTTAATTTTGATCTAATATTTTTACTATTGTTAATATGTTCATATTAAATTAATTAAGTAACAAAATATTTTATATAAAAGTAAAAATAAAAATTTATATTTTTAAATTTTATTAGTAAAATTAATTTTTATTTAAGATATAATAATTTAATATATAAATTATAAAAAAATTACATTATTCAGTATTAAAATAATATAAATAAAAAATATTTTTATTATCATTATTTATTTTTAATAATTTATTAATTTAAAATAATAAATAATTAGATGTTGAAATAAGTTATTAATAAATATTTATTTTAAATTTTATTTTTATTTAAAAAATTATTATTATTATTATATAAAACAAACCAATACAAGTTTTTGAATTAATTTAATCTTAATCTACGTAGATTATAATATAAATAGGTGGTATAAAATAAGTTTAATTTAATTTAAATTATAGTTTTTTTTAACTTAATCGAATTTATTTCTTAAATGTTTTAGATTATATCAATTTTGACGGTGGTTTAAAACCCAACTCAATAATAAGGACTGTTCCTATTTATATATTCTACTTGGATACATCTCTAATCTACATGTATTTTCCAACGATATTAATTAATCTTTTGACAGAAAATGTGTCATTGGCAAATAAAAATGTGCTTATGTGTAACAAATTTGCTTAGCCATTTTTTAATGAAAAGAAGTTTGAATAGGCTACATATATTTTGATTTGCTTATATCAGATTTTAAAACTCTCAATTATATATATAATTATTATTTATATGAATAAGTATGATTAAAAAAGAAGTTGTAAATTATACTCTTATGTAAATTTATGAAATATATATATATATATATATATATATATATATATATATATATATATATATATATATGTATATATATATATATATATATATATATATGTTCTACTCTTAGTTGTAACAATATTAAGTTTTTTTATCAAGTACTAAAAACTAATTAGTTATTTTGAGCGTGTTTAGTAAGATAAATGAGCTAATTTATAACTTTTTTAATTTAATTAAAATTTATTTAAGTCAAATAAAATTAATTAGCAAAAAACTTATTCTTAACATTTGTATACCATCTTTAAAGTACTTCATTTATAAACTTTTAATTCACTTTCTTTCATTTTTATCTTCGCTATTTTTTAAAAATTTATTCTTTGATTTGTTTATATTTAAAAAACCAATAAGGCTCAATTCCACCTTCATTAGATAACATTTTTCTACAATATAGAATTAAATGATCATATAAATACACTAATATAATTCTAACATTTAGGATGATAACAAGATACTGTTTTTTTCATTAAAAATTTTACTTGCAAATTAGTTATTGAAATAAAAAAATATTCTTTAAAACAAAATGGTCTCAAGATTTAAAAAAAAATATTTTTAATCACTATAAGTTGTAATAAATATTTTTTTAGTTCCTTAAATTAAAAAAAATATTTTAAATTTAATAAGATGTTGTTTTAGATCTTAAATATTGAGTTTGAATGATTAAAAGAAATTTTAAAAAGAGATTTTAGTTTTTCAAATTTATTGTTCAAAAACTAAAATTATATATATTTTTTAAATATTTTTACATTTGATAGATTAAAATCGGAACTTTCTGAATTATAATAATAAAAAACATGATTAAGCGAAAAACTAATATCAGATTGAAAGTGTAGCAACTAGGATGGAAATTCTTTTGGAAAAATGGAGTTAATTTGTGTTTGGCACTTTACAGTTCCAGCTCAAGCAATTTGCCAACTAAGAAACCCACATTTCCAGCTCTGTTCTTTCAACTTGTTATTGTTACCAAGAGTTGTTCCAAATCTGGATTTTAAAACAAAGTACCTTACTTTGATAATAAATATAGATTGGCCGCAGGCAGTCCATTTGAATCACTAACAGAAGGGGCATATAAAAATATATTTTTTTTTCGTTGATTTTGTCTGTAGCAAACTTCAGAGAGAAAGAGGGTGTGTGTGGTGACTAATGGGGGCGTATAGAGCTGATGACGATTACGATTATCTGTTCAAGATTGTGCTAATTGGGGACTCTGGTGTGGGAAAATCCAACCTTTTATCGAGGTTCACCAAGAATGAATTCAGCCTTGAATCAAAGTCCACCATTGGGGTTGAGTTTGCTACCAGAAGCATTAGGGTGGATGATAAGGTTGTCAAGGCTCAGATTTGGGACACTGCTGGCCAGGAAAGGCGAATACTTCTTTCCCTGTGCTCTTTTTCTCTATTTTCTTCTTTTGTTAGAATTGGGTTGTTGCATATGGTTGGTATGCCATGATGTGATTTTATTTTTTGATGTGTGTGAATGTCCATGATTTCATTGTTTGTGGCTTGTTAGTTGGTGTAAGTTTTCCTGCACCCTTTTTCCTGATAGTTAAATAAGCTGATGAATTGGAAGCTTTTATGAATTTCTGTTTTACATCCTGGGGTTTGCAAAGGTATAATATCATTGTAATTAGATTTTTATTTGCTGTAGCTGCTCTTGTTACTGTATTATTATTGAATCTCTGTGAACTTTTTATTTCCGATTGACTTCAAACCATAAACTATGCTTGTGGTCTCATAGGTAGTTCTAAGCCCGAGTAAAGGAGGGAGGGTTGTATTAGGCATGTAGCAGCTAACAATTTCGAAATCTCCAACATGGAATCTCCCAATTTTCAAACCCTAGCATTTATCCATCGAGTTCATGTTAAAATAATCTGAACTATGGCATTTACATAATGCAGATAGCTTGGCTCTTTTGTCACGCACTTAGTATCAATTTGTTAACATGTCAATGTTATTATAGAAGTCATACTCTTAGCATCTTTGTCAAAGATGTTAGTTGTCGGTGCAAATGCAAGGAACATATAATAAGCAACAAAAGATTTGAAGTTATCACTTGGCCTGACTTTCTAGCAGAGGTTACCAATATCTCAATTTTGTAGCAGTAAGACGCTCTAATAATCTTTAAACCATTTCGTTGGTATGATTTACTTAATTTGATCTGAGTTTTAAATTAGCTTGATCTATCAAAATGACTTTACATAAGATTGATGTGTGTTAAGGTTCCAACATAAAACCAATTGGCAATATGTGGAGTAGCCTAACATGTATTTAAACCATACCAAATGACATGAGGTAGGCGATGTGGGACTTTCAACACACCCCCTCCAACGAAGCCCGCCGGACCAGGCAAAGGGTACTTTTGACCCAACTAAAGGGCAACTTTTGGCCCATGACAATAACCGGAAAGATGTTAGGCTTTGGCTCTGATACCATGTTAAGGTTCCAACATAAAACCAATTGGCAATATGTGGAGTAGCCTAACATGTATTTAAACCATACCAAATGACATGAGGTAGGCGATGTGGGACTTTCAACAATGTGAAATATTATTATTGTTGTTGTTACTGTAATCATCATTATTGTAATTGTTATTATAATTGCTGCTAATCCCAACAAGAATGTTTAAAGATTTTGAATTCCACATGAATAACGATTTAAAAATGCTATATGTGATCATCTTCATTTAATTTTCCTTTACTTAGGTACCGAGCAATAACTAGTGCATATTATCGAGGAGCTGCTGGTGCTTTATTAGTGTATGATGTTACCCGCCATGTTACATTTGAGAATGTGGAGAGATGGTTGAAGGAGCTCAGAGATCACACAGATGCCAACATTGTGGTGATGCTTGTTGGGAACAAAGCAGACTTGCGTCATCTGCGAGCAGTGTCCACCGAAGATGCTACAACTTTTGCAGAACGGGAGAAAACATTTTTCATGGAAACCTCTGCCCTCGAGTCCATGAACGTTGAAAATGCCTTCACAGAAGTGCTCACACAGATCTTCCATGTTGTAAGCAAGAAGGCCCTTGAAATTGGTGATGATCCAGCAGCATTACCAAAAGGAAAGACGATAAATGTTGGGTCTCGTGATGATGCATCCGCTGTGAAGCAGAATGGATGCTGTTCTGCCTGACCATGCAGTAACAACCTCTGTATTTTTACTTCAAACCTATCTCCTGTTTATATCCATGTAGATTTCAGCCTTAAATCATGAAAATGGTTGTCCAGAGAGCATTACAATCTCAGCTTTATAATTTGCTTTCTTGAGAAATCTGTTCAATGTAAGTGTCAAATGTTTAGGAAACATGGACTTACATTTTCCTTGATGCCTATTTTTGGTTGTTGTTTCTTGAAGGTATTAATTTATCTTTTTTCAAATTTATCAGAATTTTTCACGGTCTTCTTTATTCTTTTCCATGCACGCAGATTCATGCTATCCAAAATTATGTTGCCATGTTCTTAAGTTAAATTCTCAATTTTCAAGATGTACTGTGATTTGCGCATTGTTTTTTCAAAATTGAGAGTTGGGCCGGATTTCAGAAGTTACAAAGGTTTGAGATAATTTACAGATATGTTTTGCAGCTTAAAACCGAGTGACATTAAAAAATAACTCCAAGTGCAGAACTAAAAATAGTCTTTTCTTTTCCTTTCTTCACTTTTATTGAGGAAAAAAAATCCTTTTATTGTAGAAAGCAAAAATGTTATATAAGAACAAGTTGATTTTATTTTCAAATAATATCGTTTTTTATTTTTAAATTTTAATAATTTTGGTCTAACTGCTTTCATGCTTGTTTGACAATTTTAAACATTTGCATGTATCATTATTAAAAAATAAACAATATCAATTGATACGATCAGATGTTTTTTGTATTTCTGTTGAGACTTGAGATGATGGTTAGATTAAACACTGATTTAATTAAAGTAGTTAATTGGAAAAAGTAGGTTACTTCATGAAGTTAGTTAGTAATACTTATTAACAACATGAGCTTTTTCACATCCGTTGTAATTTTTTATAGTTTGCGATTGATGAAATTAAACATCAAACGGAATCAAACTTGAAAGTAGATGGACCATAATCACCCATAAATTACAAGTTCGGATGATGCATTAGAATATCTACAATCTTTTTCTTCACATCAATTACATGCCTAAAGCATTTGAACATACATAATCTTTTGCCTTACATTCATATCAAGACGGGGACAAAAACTAGTTTGAGAGAAGCAAAATAAGAGACTTAATTATAAACATCAAACTTCCTTATTCGCAAACAAGGTGTCAGGGCATTGTTAACCAAAAGCTGTTCTTGTGTGGCTAGATTCCAGTGAGTGGTGCCTGCAGTTCGATGTTTTCATGAACAAACACAGAATGTAATACGACCTTTAAGAAATAGAGGATGTAATATTGGCCATGTATTATAAATGAAAAGAGCAGTTAATCTAACAAACATGAAAGCAAGGAGGCGAAAAACCAAATTTTCTCCCTGCATTGCCGATTCATCATCAATCTGAACTTTTATTCACTTTATTTCAGGCTTCTAACTGAACAGTTATTTTCAATTCGAATATTTGGTTAAAGTAGGACATGCCTAGTAATGTTCACAGTCCAGAAAGACAGGAAGAGCAATGGTCTATCGATTTGTCCTGTTAAAAAGGGCAAAATTTTTTAAAACTGCTAACATGTAATCCTTTCTAAAATCATGATATCTAGCATGTATAATAACTTTTTCTAATTTTTGACATAGAATAAAAGAAAAGTGCCTAATTAAGAATAATAACACTACGAAGGGAGCCAAAAACTTGCTCCAAGGATATATACATAACATTTCATACAGATTCCATCAGTGGGAGGTATAGACATAAAAGTCAAAATGCAGCTAAACTAACAGTATGAAAATACTTATGATATATTAAAAAAACTGAGTTCAATTTCAGCCAAAATATGCAGCCATGTTCAATAAGCTCACAGAATATCAAAGACCAAACATAACAGGAAACAAAATTGATTGTAGCATTCAAATTATGTGACAGTGTACATCAAAAGTGATAAAACATGATTACAAATTTTGGACTTCAAAACACTATTTTACCATCAGAGGAGCAAAGCACCAAGACTCAATCCGTGCAACACACCCAACACAGTATGGAAAAGCAATATAGCATTAGTGCACCGAAACGAAGAAGACAAGTTTTCTAGGCTTTCTTATGCCCTTGTAAACAATCATTTCTCAGCAGCCCAATTTAATTCCAAGCATGGCCAAAGAATGCAATCTTCCCAACCCAAGTCATCTTTAATTAAGTGACATGCTATGGTGACTGGTGGATAAATCCAGAAAACCGCAGGATACTCTTCATGGAACATGTTTGCAACAGTATCACCTATGGAAGCTAAAGTACAACCGTTCATTAATCAATAGTGTCAAACAAAAAGCTTCCTTGCATAACTGAATTGTAAGTTTTTAACATCAATTACTACCTCTAAATCAGAAGCATTGGCAGGCATGAGTCAAATTCACTATCGACTACCGATAACAGATGAAAAGTAACACTAGACATCTACCACCTTTTCATCTTCTACTTCATCCTATTCCTTTGTGCCATCAATGTACTACACAAATTTACTAGCCCTAACATACACAACCTGTTTGCTTTAAAGTGATTTATACATCATACTAGTAGGACCAATTCAACCAAAACCCCTCATAATTGAACCATGGAAGCAAATGAAAAAGACTAACTTTTTCATAATTTTCCGACTCCAAATAACCCAACCCAGCTTCTATCCACAATTCCCAATATCCAAAATATCAATTAAAATCAAAATCAAAGGGATTTTAAAAAAAAAAAGGCGCTCTAAGAAAGAACGAAACAAAATGAGAGTTTGAAACAACAATTGACGACAGTGGAGAAGTGACCTGAAAAGAAGGTAAGGGCACATCATTGGGGAGTATTGTTGTCTTTGTTGTTCTGGGAGGAAGAGGGGTTGTTGGAGTTGAAAGAGGGTATGGGATTTTCTCCCTTGATGATCCAGCCAAGGGCAAAGAAGGCAGTGCCAGCGAGAATGGCGGTGCCCCAAGCGTGCGAGTACCATCGACTGTACTGCCTGATGGCATACCTCCATTGATCCCTCAGAGTGGCAGCATCTGGAATCTCTTTCTCTGGTGGGTTGAAATGGCTCTTCGGTCCTGAAAACTTTTTTGGGCCATCATCACTGGGAGTGGGAATCCCACCTGAAGAAGCTGGAGAAGAAGAAGGAGCGTACTGCGTTTTGGGTTTATTCTCAGTCATGTGGTGGTGTGACTCGATTGTTCTGCTTTCACTTTCCTGTCAAATGTATCATAACGCTTTTTACATCAAATATATTCTCAATTTAGTGTCCAAATTTCGAACGTTAACCACAAAAAATTGATATTAAGTGTGTACGTAAAACAACTTATTCATTATTATTTTATTTTTCTGGCAATTTGATTGTATTTATTTTCAGTCTCTTACGAATGACTATTAGTGTGATTAAGATTCTAATTTCGTCAGTTATCATTACTTTTTGTTTTTTTTTTTTTAATCTTGTAGTCACATTTTTTTCATTCTATACTATTAGTACAATTCTCTTAAGTATTAATTGCACCAATCCTTGTTAAATTGTTTAAGCCAATTTTTACTCGAGATAAGTTAGACACGTTCATATTTATTAGATAAGTTAATGACTTGTGTGATAAATTATTGATTTTATAATAACAACAAATTGTTTTTGTTGAATAAAAAATATTTTTAAACAAGGAGAAAAAACCTCATAATGAATAAAAAAAATTTAGAGAGAAGATTAAATCATCAGCTGCTAAATTCTGCAAGTATACTAACTTATTTTTAATCAAGGTGAATTATGCTTCCAATTTCATTTTAGGGGCGAGTTCTTGGCGCTTAAATGTGAGTTTGGTTGAAAGGATGGGTGAAGATCGGTACTTGTCTTCTGTCAAAGTTGTCTTCAGTTGATTAGGGTTTATAGTTCAGTGATTACAATAATCAAATTGCTGAAAAAAAAGGAAAGAAAAACAGATGTGCTGTCTTTGGAAAGTTCAATGTTGAATATCATACTTTAATACTTACATTCGTTCAAATATAACTGCAATCACAATTCACATTATTTTACATGACAAGAGCAAAGATATAAATACAACCTTCCAAGAATCAATTTTAAAATTCAACCTGAACCTTCATTTTCTACAAAGAGCAAGTTTTGTAAGATACCCGCCTATAGATTTGAATACAAAATTGACACAGCAGATCTCAGACATTGCATTTGAAGAGGGGGAAAAAATTACTAAAGAAAAATATTGCAAAGCCTATTGGGGTTCTACCCTTGTTGATGGAAACATTCCACTATAGCTAAAATCTTCTTCCCTGTAAGGATGTTGGGCATTTCCTCCACCTGCCTCCTCATAAGTTTCTGATGTTGTAGCTGATTCAGAATTGGGGTTCAATCCAACAAGCTCGATTATGCTCTCAATCTCTTTTACAACCTCAGCCATTGTAGGCCTCTCAGCTGCATATTCTTTAACACATCTCATAGCCAACATCACAAACTTTTCTAAACCTTTTGGTTTTATTTTCATTATGGTTGGATCTAGAATGGAATGAAGGTTGTATAAATCTTTTGACGTGTCCATTACCCTCATTACCTCTCTTACAATATACTTTCCTTGCTCTATTGGCCTTCTTGCTGTTGCTAGTTCCAGCATAAGCACTCCAAAGCTATATACATCACTCTTTTCAGTTAACTGCTGGGTCATGTAATATTCAGGATCCAAGTATCCCTGAGCGAATAAAAGGAAATAAGTTTGCATCAGATATCCCTCTTAGCAAATTATTGATTTGATTTCTGCTTAATTGAAAAGATACATTCTCTAAACAGTGTTAAGTTTGTTTATTTTCTAAGTATTATGCTAAGCACACTATAAACCGGCATCATCAACCTAAGAACACAAGGGAGGTGAAGGTATATGATCGTGTTGTACATAAGCTTTTCCTGACATTTAAAAGTGTCTCGAAACTGAGTAAGTTGTGGGGCTACAAAACCTTATGACTGAAATTTTTGAAGGGGCATGTTGAACATCCAACATCAAAGAAAGACGTGACCAAAAGAAAATATAAAAAATGGAGACAAACCTCTCTTATAAAACTTGCTTTTGGAATTGAGTTAGATTCAAACCAAATTTTAAGAGTGAAGAAGCATTCAAACTCTTAAAAGTTTCGCAACTGTTAAATTTATTATCTATTCTAAACAAAGATGTTCATAAAGTAGGAATCAAAGCATTCTATACAAACCATTGTCCCTTTGACTTGAGTAGTGACATGACCCCTTTCACTGTCAACAAGAAGTTTAGAGAGACCAAAATCAGCAACTTTTGCATTGAGGTGCGGATCAAGTAGGATATTGCTAGATTTAATGTCCCTGTGTATGATAGGTGGGTTAGCAAGTTCATGAAGATATGCCAGACCTCTGGCTGCACCTAATGCTACTTTAAGCCTCCTTATCCAATCCATCCAGATCCCAGATTTTCCTGCATTGGCAAAGTCAAATGAAGAAAATTCATTAAGTAATGAGACAGGCAATTTGGTGGACTTCAGCTTTATTGAATTTTTTAACTTCTTGTTATAAAATAATAAAAAATAATATTCGTGGTAACAACAGTCCAATCCTGAAGATGTAAATAGTTGCAGTCCGGCAGAAGGTAACTCAGCAAATGCTTATTATTAGAGTCTCCGTGACACTGATTTCTAGTGTTCAAATTGGTAACGCAGAAGAAGCTATTATTTTATATTTCTGATGACAGTAAGCTCATTACTGTTCCTCTCTTAGTTTGTATTAAAATCAGGATCTTACCAAGTTCCTTTTAGTATGAATGATTTTTTATTGATCTGGTAAATTGATACTGGTTAGATGGGGCGTATAATTGACAATCAAATGATAAATAATCTTAGCACCAAGATCAATTGTGGTGATTTAGAATTAAATGGGCAAATGAGTGGTCTACTTGTTAATAGTCGAGAAATGAAATTGTATCAATTAACAGATGAAAATTTCTAGTCACTCCATCCCCATTCATTTTTACAATTGAGTCAGAAACAGTACGGTACATACGAAGTAGCGAAGGAATTGAAAGTACCTGAGAGACTATCCATTAAAGTGCCATTTGGAATGTACTCATACACCAGCATTTGTTCACCCTTCTCAAAACAGAAACCAACAAGACTAACGAGATTCTTATGATGGACCCTTGATAGAAGTTCAATCTCGGTTTTAAACTCAACAGCACCCTGCATAGATTCTTTTGCAGCCCGTTTGATAGCAACCAACTCCCCAGAGGGAAGAGTTCCTTGGTAAACCTTAAGAAAGAGGAATAATTAAATCTCGCAAATAAGTAAACAAGAAGATAACTATTTGGGAAAAATACTTGGTTACTTCTGACACTAGAGTGAAATTATGAGAATATTTTTTAAGAACATCCAAGGAATAGGCCAATAGGGGTGTTTTTAAATAAATAAGAAAAAGGATAGTCATCAGATTCCATTATCAAAATACCTGTCCATAGCCTCCAGATCCAATAGTATTGGCTTCTGAGAAGTTGTTGGTGTATTTCCTTAGGTCGTCAAAAGCAAACCATCGTCCTCCTTTCAACTGAGGAGCAGCGCCACTATTCTTATTCTGTTCCCAGTTTGCTGCATTTATGATGACATTGAATCAATAAAAGACTACTTAAGAAGTCCTTGCAAGGAACAAAATTTAGCCAAGGTTGCATCAATCACTCTTACCAAAAGGGTTCAACCCTGCTGATCTTTTTGCTCTTCTATTCTGGCGGATGGCATACATCCCTGCAAGGGATGCTATTACAAAAAATACCATAACAGCAACTACCGCACCAACTATAACCCCGGTATGTGATGACGTTGATCCTTTTAGTTCTTCTAAGTGACATAAAGAATGAGTGTTAGGGAGGAGAAAGAGCACGGTAAACTAGACCTGATAAAGGGTTCAGGATTTCTAGTTCACAATCAGGCACAAAACCTCACCTCCGGTGTAGTCATAAGTAGCACCCTTGAAAACGTAAGGGGAGAAGAACTCTGGGGGTTTGTAAATTTGGTTGCTAAGCAGAAAAGCAATAGTTAAAACTCCAGTTGTATTGAAACGATCGCTTTGCGAAGGGAAAACTTGCAGAGTCACCTCAAAATTATCATCAGAATTTTTCATGGGGTTACTAAGGGAAACTGAATCCACTGGAATACTTTGGTTTTGGAAAGTATCCATCAGAGACTTCTCAAGCTCCCTATAGTAACTTGCGTCGCTGAAGTTTGAGAAACTAATAGCTCTTGATATAAGAAGTCCAGTATAGGGATATGCACATTTACAATTTGGGCTGGAAATCTGATCGGAACTGCAAGATGGAGGAGAACAATTATTTGGTGGTGTAGAATAAAAGGAGGGATTGGGTACTGCTACTTTGCAGTAACTCTTGTCAGAAGCTCCACTTTCACGACAAATTGGGTTGTTAGCTAGTCTGCAAAATCATAAGATATCTGCCTCAGTTTTAAATCCATGCAAATAGCTGAACATTTTTTTTATAGAGAAAAAAAAAGATATCATCAATAACGAGACTTGCCTTATATCAAAACTTGGAAGATTGTTTATGGGGTCAAGCTCTGTTATCTCATTACTTTCCAAATTTATGAGTTGCAGACTTTTGCTGTAGCTACTAAGATTTAGCGCCCCCCTGAGCTGGTTCTGCTGAAGTATCCTGCAACCATATCTCGATATAAGATTTAGAAAGTAATTCAAGTCTGAAATATTTCTTTTTTTATTTTTTATTATTGAATGTTTGATACCAAAATCACCTATCATCATTTGGTTAAGCATCACTTTTTTAGGAACATGTCATTCGTTTTATTCATAGCTAAAATGAAAGCCTGTTTCTATTAAATTTTTTTTTTTTCACAACAGCAAGTAATGTTATTCGAAAGAATTGGAGACAAGTAATGTGGGAAGGAAGGAACAACATACACTGTTGTCAGTGCTGGCAGACTTGTAGCCCAAGAAGGAATACCAGAGGCATTGAAAGCATTGTTGCTCATGTCCCTGCAGATAGTTTTCCATAGAAGATGCAAAGCAAAAATCATTGTATTATGCATGAATCATCTGCACATATTGTATAATTTCAGGGGAGAGAAAATGTTTCTATTAAGCATTTCTTTTAGGCAACATAATCAAAATTTCAAACACTCATGTAAACTTTCGT